ATTGAGAAAAGTAAATTTAAAACTAAATCCTCAGAAATGTGAATTTTTAAAGAAAGAAATTCTTTATTTAGGAAATTTGGTTACAGAAAAAGGTGTTTTACCAGATCCAGAAAAAACAAAAAGTATTACGAAATTATCCTACTCCCAAAAATGCAGATGAAGTAAAACGGTTTGTAGCATTCTGCAACTATTATCGTAAATTTATAAGAAATTTTTTGGATATAGCATTACCTTTGAATAAGTTAAGTAGGAAAAATGAACCATTTATTTGGTCTGATGAATGTCAAAACGCTTTTGAATTTTTAAGAAATGCTTTAATATCATCACCAATTTTACAGTATCCCGATTTTTCCGAAAATCATGAATTTATTTTAGAAACAGATGCCTCGGGTACTGCTATTGGTTCTGTATTATGTAGTAAAGATCTCAGACCAGTTGCATATGCCAGTAGACCTTTGAATAAAGCAGAAAGAAACTATCCAACTATTCAAAAAGAACTTTTGGCAATAGTGTGGTCCGTTAAGTATTTCAGACCATACTTGTATGGAAAAAAAAACAAAGTCACCATAATGACAGATCACAAACCATTAATATATCTTTTTTGGTACGAAAGATTCGTCAAGTAGATTACTTAAATTTCGATTAACTTTAGAAGAATATAAGTTTAAAATAGTATATGTGAAAGGAAGAGACAATGTTGTGGCAGATGCTTTATCGAGAGTTTGTATAACGTCTGATGAACTTAAAAGTATGAATGAACAAGTGATGGCTGTAATGACCAGAGCGCAAAAGAAAAAGCTGAATGAGTTAAGTAAGAGTAAGAATGACGATGAAAAGAAGGATCTTAATAAATCCATTAACAATTGGCCTGATCAACCAAGAGTTGTGGATATATTAAGAAAACCGTGTGATTCAGTAGAAATGTGTTTGATTGAAGGCAGCAAATTAAAACAAATTAGAGATAATGGCTTGATAACTGAAGAATTTGAATGTTTTACATTTATAGAGGGTAAAAAGACACTATACATTAATCTTGATTTCAAGGCGCATTTCTCGCGAGCCGAATTTGTGCAGAAATTAAGCAATTTTTGTGAAAAGATACGTATCAATGAAGTGTGTATAATTAAAAATAATGATAATATAGAATTTATCAAAAGTGTTTGTGATGAAATAACAAAACTTAGTAATTGGTCCGGACCGCGAATATGCATATTACGAGGTGTAAAAAGAATAGATGACGACAACGAAAAGACACTTATTATGAATGACTTTCATTTACTGCCATCCAGCGGTCATGCTGGAGTGCGCAGAATGATAAATACAATCAAAAGTCGATACTATTGGCCAAGTATCGACAAGGATGTCCAGGAATTTGTTAAAAAGTGTACAAAATGTCAGAAACATAAATATTTTCGTAACATAAAAGAACTGATGGAAATTACCACAACAGCTTCCTCGGCTTTTGAAAAGATATACTTAGATGTAGTGGGACCCTTAGATAGAGACGAAAATGGTAATTGTTATATATTGACTATGCAATGCGAGTTAACAAAATTTGTACAAGCTATTCCTTTGCAAAACAAAGAAACAGTGTCCATTGCAGATGCATTTGTTAGACAGTTCATATTAAGATTTGGTATTCCGACGACAATAGCTACAGATCAAGGAAGAGAATTTATTTCTGCAACCATGGAACAGGTTTGTAAAATACTTAATATAGAAAAATTATCTTCTACAGCCTATCACCATCAGTCGATTGGAGCTCTTGAAAATGCTCACAAAAGTTTGGGTGCATTTTTAAGGATCCAGTGTGACAATCATACGGATACATGGAGCTATTGGTTACCATTTTGGTGCTTCAGTTTTAACAACACAGTCCATTCAGAAACAAATTACACGCCATTGTTTTCGGAAAACTTTATCAAATACACGATAGCATAAGTAATACCGTAGAACCATTGTATAATATAGATAATTATCCATTACAATTAAAATACAGGTTACAATTAGCTCATGAAGATGCAAAGAAAAATTTGTTGATTAATAAGCATAAACGGAAAGAAATATATGATAAGTCTGTCAATTCTGCAAAATATGAGAAAAATGATTTGGTTTTAGTAAAAAATGAAGCACGTAGTAAATTAGATGCAATATTTAAAGGTCCCTATACAGTTATGGAAGATTTAGGTTGTAACGTAAAAATAATTAAAAATAATAAAATTGAATTAGTACATAAGAATAAGACTAGGCCTTTTGTCAATAGATTTGAATGTAAGATTTAATTTTAGATAACATTGCAATGTATAATGATAAGGATAAATATATGTACCATTTTATTTGTAATAAGTAACTTATGTCTATTAAACACTATTATTTTAAAAGATGATACTTCAAGTAAATATCTAGTAAAAATTATGTAAAAAAAGTACCTAATTCTCTTTTTTTTCTATGTCCTCGGGAGGTGAAGTGTAAGAATAATATGTATGCTCCTTTAGTTTAGTAAGTAAGTACGCTACTTTATAACCGTATGTATGCTGAGTTTGAACTATACCTTATAAGCATTTTTAGATTATTACCAGCGCATTCATTAAATAGTACGTAACTAATGTAGTCGTTTCCTTGAATAACACTCATTAGGAACCCCAACATTACAGTAGTATATAGCACTAATGGGCAGGCTCGACCGAGGAAGGAACACGCTCTCACAGAATACCAGTGTGAAATAGTGTCTTAATGCTGCTATGTTTCGTATGGTGAGTGTAGAGAACCGAAGACCCTTTTTACTGGAAATGAGGCATTCCATCTTAGTCCTCACGGGTGACAACGCATCTGCATTTTGATTTGTAATCGAGGATAGATGTAGATGTCTATGGGCTGCAGCAACCACTTACCATCAGGTGGACTGTGTGCTCGTTTGTCAATCTATCCAATAAAAAAAAAATTCAAACTGTATTCTTTAGAGTAAACAGGATACTTAGATTACATAAATAATTATTGAATAAATGAAAAGTTAATATTGTTTAAAATATTTTAATATCTTACAATACATGTAGGTTATTCAAGAATTTTTATCATTGAGTTAGCAGCTAGTGTACACGCATACGTCTAGTCGCACGCACACAAACACCGTGCCGAAGTCTGCCGAGTGCCAAAGTCTGTCGAACTGAAACGACGTTAGACGATGCACGGCCTTCAAGCCACACCTCCGTACCCGTCGGAGTGGGGAGCGTGAGGTTTTTTCGTTACGGCGCAATAAATTTCTGGATTCGGTCCCCTTGCTCAAGGCCCGCGATAGAAGCTATGCAATAGCTTAATAAGTATCGTCGCTCTCTACTTTTCCTTATCTTAACTATCAGGGTTAATTTCTGAGACAATTTTCAAAGTTCAGTTAGTTTTTGTTTTTAACTTTTGAAATAAAATATACATTATTGTCTTAAAATCAGTTTATTATTTTCCTTTCATCTGATGCACAGCCCTAGCACCTCAAATCTCTTAGTATGAAAGTGTGACTAAATGTGGTGATAACATTGCCCACCGCCATTAAAACTTAAAATGGACTTCTATTTATTTGAAAATGTAATGGTATACCATTTTGCCGGTTTGCTAACAATATATCTTAAAATCAATGTCATACAACTTATAATTACTGAGAAATTTAGGTTGAACAAAGATGTAAGAAAGTAGAGATAACTTTCCCCGCGTCTGTTTTTGTTTTTTTCTCAGCGTCTGTTAGGAATTATGTCACCTGGATTTGACAGTTTCTTTGTTGCATAGAGAGTCGTTTAAAGCTTCAGCAACCATCAAAATAAAGTGGCTATTTATATATTATATATAATAAAAACCGAAATATGTGGCAAAGATGTAAGGTTTCACCGTATGAGAAAATATCATTTGTTAAACGTATTTTTTTATAGAAGATGGGGCAAACGAGCATGCGGCCTTTTTTTGTCATTTGTCCCGGTACTCGGAGACGTTTTCCCGCGAAATATTGGCACGACCAGTGTACAGAGCATCACCTTTACCTCACTTATACCTTTATAAAAATTACTTACAAAGTTCAGAAGGTCAAATATATTGCGTTCAGATATAACTGTTAATCGAGCAATGTCGAATTGGACTTCCTTTGCTGTAAATGTCTGGTAAGCATACAGTTTTTGTTCAGTTAACGCTGATAGGACGTCGAGAGCATAAACCCCTTCAAATGGAAGGATAATCATGGAATACTGCGCTTTCTGTGAAATTGAAAACATATTTTACTAGATAACTGATATATCAAAATTACCTATAAATTGGTTTGAAATAAAAATAACTATTTAAATGCTTTTGCAATTTCTTTTGCTTTTGCTTTTTTGTCTGCTCTTACTTCATTTCTTGACAAAAAACACAATAACTGATTTTAACCCGACCTCAGACTCGAACCTGGGACATCATAGGTAGCAATCGCCTTTACTACCACTAGACCAACCCGGCAGTCAAAATAATATAAATTATTTTTATTTAAGGAAGTACGAGATATATTACAAAAAGTAAAAAAAATAACAAAAGATTATTTTCTTTAAACGGATACAATAATTAAATTTGCGACTGAAGTCAATGTTAGGCAATGAATTTTATAAAAAAAATTAATGATACTAAAGAACCTTCATACATACTTTTCCCCATAACAACAAACAATGGCGGGTTGTTATGAGGAAGACACCAACTACGTCACCAGTAAACTAACTGGCAATGGAGTTTTCACGTCTCTCACGGAGGTAACGACCGTCGGAGCAGATAATCATGGAATGGAGACTAAGCTAAATAGAGGAAGCGACGATCTACACAGGCGTGGATTGTAGTAACTGGATGCGGAAAGCTAAAGACCAGCTGAAGTAGTGCGCCTCGTGATAAACGTGAGACTATCGCAAACTTACGACAATACATTTTATAATTAAAGAAATTACCTGGTACCAACAGATTCAAAATTTTTTTGTTTGTTTTAGCGGCCACCCAACTATTGATCATTTGTGATACTTGACTACCAATGGTTTGTTGAAATTCGCATTAGTTACTTCACTTTCAAAACTATGAATTGCGATTGATTTAAATTTAGGATCAACACTGAATGTATCCGCCAAGATCACGTTACTTGCAATCTTCAAAATATTGTGAGACTTCCGTTTCTGTTAAGAACGAGCATAAAAATAAGCTTTTTTCATTACTTCATCATTATCGTTACAGCCCATCAAAAGTCCACAGCTGAACACAGATTGTCTCATAGGCTGGATATTTCCCGTTGAAGCCACGCTCGGGTTGGGTTCTTCAGTTTCTTGTAGTTTTTAGGAAGACACTGCTGGCTATCTCATGGTTCGTTTCTCTCCGTGGCTTCTTACGACAGCCGCGGTACGTTGTAAGGCAGTGGATATGTTTACACTGCGTTTTGACGATAATTACAATATAGAACTAAAAAAAATACAAATTTTCGCTTGATTACATAAACGCTTTATTTCTACGTGTTAGAGCCATGCTGCTGCTATATTATGATGAAAGCACAAATGGGTCGGCTCGATCGAAGAGGGACCACGCTCTCACAAAACACCGGCGTAAAATAGCAGCTTACTGCTTCTGTGTTTTGTATAGAGCACAGGAGACCCTTTTTACTGGAAACGAAGCATTCCATCTCGGTGCTCAGAGGTGACGACGCATCTCCATTTTGAATCTTAATCGTAGATAGATGTAGATATGTATGTGCTACAGCATCCATTGTCATCATGTGGACTATGAGCTCGTTTGTTACCCTTAGTCTACAAAATACGCTGAGATTTTTAAAAAGCAATTCATGAAATTGTACTGAACTACATACTCTAATAGTAAGAGTATTTCCTGCGTTCATATATTCAAGTCAAAGTTTCAAATTTTCCAAAAAATAATGCCGTCCATTCAGAGTTTGTCAGCTTGAAAACGTTTTTCCATATTTATTTTATTATTGTTATACATTTATTTCAGGCACTCATAAAGTATGTTTGATTTAGAACACTTCTCTAATAAAAATTAATATTTTACTTGAACTAACAAAGAAAAGTTGAAATAGATACGTACTCGTATAATTTTTACTTTAACAGCGAGCTGCATATTTTACATAAATACATTAAATTGATAATCTAAATCTTCAAGTCCAGTTTGACATTCCGTTCATGTGATTGAGTTATATAAGCATGCACACATGAATGATGAAATTTGGTTTAAAGTGTCGAAATGGCGATCCAGATCCGCCGCTGGGGAAAACTGATGCCCTAGAAAGCTACAATTTTTCTTACATTATGTCCTGTGCATAACGGACTTGAGAAGGTCCGTGATGTAGGTGGAAATCGAAGTCGTGAAAGAATGCGAGCCTGTTTTCGTCTCACCTTGCCTAAGAAGAATAACGAGGGAAGGAGTTTCCGTTTCATTTGTCTGTCTTCATGCGGCGAAGCTGGAACACCATGAGCATGAGTGTTATTCAATTACTCAGTACAAACCTGACTTTATAGACACTATTCCCTGCCTCCGCTGGTAGGTATGAGTAGATACTTCATCATAAAAATACAGACGTGTAAGAGCCAGTGCTTGAGGGAACATTTTTCACTGAAATATTTCTCTCAACAATGTCAGGTTATCGCTGTCGTCGAAACTGACAAGACGAAAATTGTAACGTCAGTAAAAATAGTTAGTATCCTTAAAATATAAATTAAATACCTGCACAACATTTGTAAGAGCCTTAAACATTTCCGCTGAAGATTCTGGAATTAACTGTAACACCTTCGTGATTTCATTTTGCGTTTCTTCAAACGCACCCTGCTGTTTAAGAGCCAGAAGCATAGCGATTGAATATGGGGATGCTAAAATGTTTCCTGGATAAAATGAGAAATTTGACTAAATTTTTAAATGATTCTACAAAAACATTACGTTAACAATATACTCACATAGTATAGTGTAAGGAATAACAATGAATTAAGGTTACTAACAACTTAAGTTGCCATTATAGATCACGATCAAAGATAGCGGCGCCTTCCATCTGTGTTAGCTAAATCAAATTGTTTCAAATTTCCACATTTTAATTATTCAATTTAGTAATCGTAAAGTAATAAAATTTATTTTAAAGTATGCCTAGCGTGGCAACTATAGCTACCCTATGCAATAATCTGCGACAGATGTCTACATTGAGTAAGTTATAATTAATGAATAGTGAATGAATTTGAACGCAAACCAAACCTAAAACACTTTTAACTAATTTCATTATCATCGTCACAGCCCATCTCTAGTTTAATGTTGAAAAATGGCCTACCCGTAAGAATATCGCAAAGCACGATCCTGAGCTACAACATCTTTTTTAATTTTATAAGTGGAAGAGAGACGCTGCTGCTATATTCCTGGTACAGTTGTAGCACGAATGGGTCGGCTCGACCGAGTAAGGACCACGCTCTTACAGAATACCAGCGTAAAGTAGTTGCTTAACGCTGCTGTGTTTCGTATAGTGAGTGTAGCCAACCGGAGCGAGGCATTCCATCTTAGTACTCACGGGTGACAACGCATCTGCATTTTGATTCGTAATCGAGGATACATTTAGATGTCTATGGGCCACAGTAACCACTTACCATCAGGTGGGTTGTGTGCTCGTTTGTCACCCTTATCCTATAAAAAATCCATCGACTTCCTGCATGTGTTACTAGGACGTCACTCCATCCAGTGGGGTGTCGTCCCACACTTCGCTTACAGATATGAGGCTGCCATTCGAGAACCTTTTTCCTTACTGGTAGTATGGAGTTTACTTACTTCAGCTTCTTCAGCTCGTCTTAACGAACTTAAACTTACTAACTTGAACTCCAAGTTAACTTCGTTACTTCGGGAATCGATTCCAATTTTAAATTCCAATAATCTATTTAACATTTCATTGACATGGAGAATACTTGGAATACCTTTAAAAAGTAATATTTTTGAAGAAACCTTAGGCTAATATATTTTTTTTACATTAACAGGCCTTTACCTTTAACAATTTTAAGCCAAAGCTGGTTATAGTGAAAGTTTTATTATCGAAATTTGTACTTTCTTGTATCGCCCTCACCTAATTTGGATGAAATGTCTTCATCTATAGTTTCAGCTATTGTGGTTCTCGTACCATCACTATGTATATTGTCTTCGCTATAAATCTTCTGAACTGGTTGCACTGTGTGTTGGTAAACCGGTTGTTGTGTTTGTATTTGTGGTTGACCGTATGACACTTTGTTATTAGGTTCAAATCTGTTGTCAACTACAATTTTCCTTGTATTTTTGTCATATTTTCGAGAAAACGTGTTGTCAGGTGAATTAATAGTATAACCTGAATTTATTTGCGGATGGAGAGTTTTCAAAACATATCTGTCCCCTATTATAGATATCGGGTACGTTTTGTTGATACATAATTGAAGTCTGCGATGTCTGAGAATTTGCATTCCGTATAACTAAAGACATGTATATTAACACCGTAAAAAATAAAATACAGATTTTAACTAACATCAGTTAATAATGATAAATATTTATGAATACAATGGAAATTGTAATGCAAGGACGTGCTATGTGGCATCACTTCGGGAATGTCTACGTTCAGCAGTGTTATTGTATATATAAGATGATAACAATGAGAAAACACATTAAATACGATGTTTTTACTTACGTTTTAATGTCATTGTAATAGCTCTGTTTACAAATATAAATCTCACATAGCTACACAACGCCGATGCGCACTGCTACTAACTTCCTTTATAAAATAATTATGACTACAATCGTTCAGCAGTGTTATTGTATATATAAGATGATAACAATGAGAAAACACATTAAATACGATGTTTTTACTTACGTTTTAATGTCATTGTAATAGCTCTGTTTACAAATATAAATCTCACATAGCTACACAACGCCGATGCGCACTGCTACTAACTTCCTTTATAAAATAATTATGACTACAATCGTTCAGCAGTGTTATTGTATATATAAGATGATAACAATGAGAAAACACATTAAATACGATGTTTTTACTTACGTTTTAATGTCATTGTAATAGCTCTGTTTACAAATATAAATCTCACATAGCTACACAACGCCGATGCGCACTGCTACTAACTTCCTTTATAAAATAATTATGACTACAATCGTTCAGCAGTGTTATTGTATATATAAGATGATAACAATGAGAAAACACATTAAATACGATGTTTTTACTTACGTTTTAATGTCATTGTAATAGCTCTGTTTACAAATATAAATCTCACATAGCTACACAACGCCGATGCGCACTGCTACTAACTTCCTTTATAAAATAATTATGACTACAATCGTTCAGCAGTGTTATTGTATATATAAGATGATAACAATGAGAAAACACATTAAATACGATGTTTTTACTTACGTTTTAATGTCATTGTAATAGCTCTGTTTACAAATATAAATCTCACATAGCTACACAACGCCGATGCGCACTGCTACTAACTTCCTTTATAAAATAATTATGACTACAATCGTTCAGCAGTGTTATTGTATATATAAGATGATAACAATGAGAAAACACATTAAATACGATGTTTTTACTTACGTTTTAATGTCATTGTAATAGCTCTGTTTACAAATATAAATCTCACATAGCTACACAACGCCGATGCGCACTGCTACTAACTTCCTTTATAAAATAATTATGACTACAATCGTTCAGCAGTGTTATTGTATATATAAGATGATAACAATGAGAAAACACATTAAATACGATGTTTTTACTTACGTTTTAATGTCATTGTAATAGCTCTGTTTACAAATATAAATCTCACATAGCTACACAACGCCGATGCGCACTGCTACTAACTTCCTTTATAAAATAATTATGACTACAATCGTTCAGCAGTGTTATTGTATATATAAGATGATAACAATGAGAAAACACATTAAATACGATGTTTTTACTTACGTTTTAATGTCATTGTAATAGCTCTGTTTACAAATATAAATCTCACATAGCTACACAACGCCGATGCGCACTGCTACTAACTTCCTTTATAAAATAATTATGACTACAATCGTTCAGCAGTGTTATTGTATATATAAGATGATAACAATGAGAAAACACATTAAATACGATGTTTTTACTTACGTTTTAATGTCATTGTAATAGCTCTGTTTACAAATATAAATCTCACATAGCTACACAACGCCGATGCGCACTGCTACTAACTTCCTTTATAAAATAATTATGACTACAATCGCCACAGTTCTCAGCTTTATTGAAATCAAAATATATTCAAGAGAAAATAAATTTTGTTACATAGTAATAAAACTGCTTTTCCTTCAGAACAATAACCTCAGTTGATAGTAGACATAATATCTGGTTTTGGTTTTTCCACAGCAGCCGGTTTTTTATTTACCTCATGTGTACATAATATCTTGAATATATGTAGATTTATATTAATAATAAGTAAATAGTTACGTGTAATTTCTATCAATAATATTCGCGTTAAAGTTTACAAAGTAAAGTAAAGTTATAGCCTATAAGTCCCACCGCTGGGCACAGGCCTCTCATTTCTCAACAGGTTTATGAAGCAATTCGTCGGCCGCGTCACCTCATTGCGTGTTGGCGAACTTCACATATGTCACTTATTTACTGCTGCAGCTATATTTTGGTTGCAGCACGAATGGTTCGGCTCGACCGGCAGCTTAATAGTGCTGTGTTTCGTATGGTGAGTGTAGAGAACCGGAAATCCTTTTTATTGGAAACATGGCATTCCATCTCAGTCCTCAAGACTGGCAAAAAATCTGCATTTTGATTTTAAATTTAAGATAAATTTAGATTTCTGTGGGCCACAGCATCCACTTAACGTCACTTGGACTGTGTGCTCGTTCGTAACGATAACCTATACTATAAAAAAATGTTTGTACTGGAATCATTTTATCCCTTACACATGCAGGTTTTCTCACGATATTATTTTCTTTCACCATCGAGCGCTGCGTGAATCAGATCTTAAAATGTCGTTTAACGAAATTATTGCGGCACCAATAGAGAGCGAACTGCTCGCGTATTTTAAAATTTACGGCGAGCACTTAGCCTCTGAGCTTACACAGCTTCAGTTATTACCTACTAAATTTGTTGTACAATCTCATTACAAAATCATTCGGTGAATAAAAAAAAATTAAAATCATACATTTTTGTTGTGTACCAGGTGAAATTGTAATTAAGCTCTATAGTCTCACGCTATTGCTTGGTTATCCATTCTGTTATTTCAAACATTTGGGATAGGGCAATGGAACACTAGTGCCCTATAGCTGACTAACTTCCTTGAGGAGCGATTCTATAAGACTATACGTGGTAGAACTATACCACAGCTATATTAATACGAGTAGTATAGTTGTAGCAATATAATGGTTGTAGCAAGAATGGGTCGGCTCGACCGGAAAAGGACCACGCTCTCACAGAATATCAGTATAAAATAGTAGCTTAATGCTGCTGTGTTTAGTAAAGTGATTGTAAAGAACCAGAGATCCTTTTTACTGGAAAAGAGGCATTTCATCTTATTCCTCACGGCTGACAACACTTCTGCATTTTCAATCTTAATGGAAGATAGATGTAAGTATTTATGTGATACAGCATCCATTTGTCATCAGGTGGCCTGTGTGCTCGTTTGTCAGTCTTATTCTATAAAAAACGTTTAAGAGATTTTTTCAAAAGCATATCACGAAATTGTACTAAACTACTCCAATAGTAAGAGTATGTTCATGTCAAAAGTCAATGCCATCCATTAAAAGTTTATCGGCTTGAAAAAGTTTTTCCTTGTTTATTTTAATATTTTTATTGTAGGCCCTCATAAACTGTATTTTATTTACTATATTACATTTTGATTCGCAAATGAGGATAGATCTAGATGTCTTTGGGCCACAGCAATCACTTATCATCAGGTGGCCTGTGTGCTCCTTTGTCACCCTATCCTATATAAAAGAGATAAATCCTTTATTCTACTGAAAGTGTATATGGTTCAGTGCCGACGGTTCGACAAAACGATTTTGACTTCATTACGCCGACCGGGCGACAACTTTTTAGTAATATCTCAGGGATTGCAAGGGCGAAATTTGGCAACGGTCACCGATGACTCACTAAGCACGCGCCATCGGCCTCTCACTAGACACACTGAATCTTAATGTTAAGTTGGAGAGGTTTTTGCTGGTGGAATAAGAATATCTGTGTGATGGAAGGATAAGGGAATTCGTGAACCTATTTTGCTTCGTGATTGTCGTAAGTGGCGAGTATAGGAATCACCAGAAAGAAAGCTTTCGAAAAAATACACAGCAATGGAATTAACTCGTTTAAGCCAGACGTAAATTACTCACACCGATGACATTGACATTTAGAAAATTACGACGGTCACGACCATAGAATACAATAATATATACATAATAGAACGGGGGTGTGGGCGGAGCCCGTGTAGCTACTAAAATGCCACAAGACGTCAATTCACACGTATAAATGTCAACACGAGATGTGTTTTGACGTTACAATCCTTTCCAAATTTCGCATGCAAATTATTTAGATAATGCCAAACTGCACGCTATTTGCATATAAATATGTATTAAAATCCGTCTGTCAGCACAGCGAATCGGGCTTGTAGTAGTGATTAACTTATAATACGACGTAATTGCTTGTATGTGTGCTCCCGGCAATGCCGAACCTCGATACAAACTACAAAATAAGGTTAACAGCCATTCTATTGTGTATTATAGTATTCTATGGTCACGATGATGTTGGTGAGCAGCGTCAAAAGAGCGAGTTCAATAACTTTTTACTTCTAAAAGGAACTTTAAAAAGGCCTATCTGCAACATTTTTTTTCAATGTTTTACAAAATAAACATCTTTACCTTATCGGCCTTATCTTTATATTTTCTTTTATCTTATCGGCGTAAAAAAGTAAAAACATTAATCTAGTCATCTATTTTATTTACTATAATAGTTGATTTAAAAACTAATTTTACATAATAATTACTTATACATCTTCATAAACTATACATGTGAGTTTAGGCGACTTTCAATTATTTTTTGATATAATTTCTCATTTCTGTTAACACAATTTTGTAAAAAATAAAAGGATAATATATTACACAGGCTTTTGCAATTATAAAATGAACTAAAAAAAATCGGAAGATAAATATAGAATAGTTACAAATGGGTTTATCACGTTTAGTTAACAAATTATAGAAACTGAACTACCTAACCTATTTTAATAAATATGTATATAGTTCTTAATCGAATATTAGTTAAATTTATTAAACATTGAAAAATTTTAAGAGGAAAGTGTACAAAAAACACTATACTATTACATTTCATTAACTATTCCAAAACATAACCAAGTAGTCTTTGCACGTTATAGTGAGAATTTTTCCTCAATTCCTTGTACACTGGACTTCCGAAACTTCGAGGTCGTATGCGCATTTTACAATCTTTTGTGCTATAAAATGGGGGCCAGTTCCAAAAATTTCCATTGGCGCCTTGTACTCGTACGAGTTCGACACGATACGCACCGCTGTACGCAATGTTGAGCAAATGGAACACATATCCGTCTTCTTATTTTTTGCTGCTTTGAATCTGAAAATATTTTATAGTTGAGTTATTTCTTTATAAAAAGCCAAAAATTTGATGTTCCTTACACTATATAAAAAAAATTACAGCCTATATATGTCCCGCTGATGTACACAGTCCACCCCTCATTTTATAAGGCAGGGAAGTGTCCGCCGCGCTGCCCCAACGCGTATTGGCAAACTTCACATGTCTTTGATATTTCGAAGACTTTTGAAGTTAAAGAAAGTATAGGGGAACTAAATAAAGTGCGATTTTTTATATAACCTTCAGAATATTATTAAAAATCACGTTATTCATTGCCAGACACTTAAAATCGTGGCAACCCCTTGCCAGACACCCTTAATGTTGATGACATTGTAATTTTACTTACGTTATAGTATAAAAGCTGATTTTTACATATAATAGGTACTTGCGCAATAAGTAAATGATGATCCCTCATTAGCCAGA